TTCTCTTCAGATTTCCCATGTCCATTTCAGAGCACCTCTTCCTTTTTCCCCTTTGATTTCTCCCTTTTTTACCTTGAGACTCAAAAACTATTCAACAATGAAAAATAAAACCAAATTAACTGAGTTCGTCCTTCTGGGTCTAACAGATGTCCCTGAATTCCAAGTGGCAATTTTCACTTTTTTTTTCCTGACCTACTTTCTCAGCATCATTGGAAACCTGACTATCCTCATCCTCACCTTGTTGGACTCCCACCTTCAGACTCCCATGTATTTTTTTCTCCGGAACTTCTCCTTCTTGGAAATTTCCTTCACGAACATCTTCATTCCCAGGGTCCTTTTCAGCATCACCACAGGGAACAAGAGTATCAGCTTTGCTGGTTGCTTCACTCAGTACTTCTTTGCCATATTCCTTGGATCCACAGAGTTTTATCTTCTAGCTGCCATGTCCTATGATCGCTATGTGGCCATCTGCAAACCCCTGCATTACACGAACATCATGAGTGGCAGAGTCTGCACCCAGCTGGTTCTCTGCTCTTGGCTGGCTGGGTTAATGGTTATTATACCACCATTCACTCTGATGAATCAGCAGGACTTTTGTGCATCCAACAGGCTGAATCATTATTTCTGTGACTTTGAGCCTCTTCGAGAACTCTCCTGTTCAGACACTAGCCTCATGGAGAAGATAGTCTTTCTTGTGGCATCTGTGACCCTGATTGTCACTCTGGTACTAGTGATTATCTCCTATACATTTATCATCAGGGCTATTCTGAAGCTTCCTTCAGCCCAGCAGAGGTCAAAGGCCTTTTCCACCTGTTCTTCCCACATGATTGTCATCTCCCTCTCTTACGGAAGCTGCATCTTCATTTATATTAAACCCTCAACAGAAGGAGACACATTCAACAAGGGAGTAGCTCTACTCATTACTTCAGTTGCTCCTTTGTTGAACCCCTTCATTTACACCCTAAGGAACCAACAGGTAAAACAAGCCTTCCAAGATATTGTCAAAAAGCTTGTGAATCTTTAAAGAACTTAAAAATTAAAGATTTGGAACTGGATGGGTATCAACCATATACCAAGCTCTCTGATGGTTACTAGGTACCCAACAAAGAATTAAAATCCAGTCTAGTGAAACTTGGAAATAAATAAATTGCAACCTGTTGTTAAATTGATATAGAGCAAGCAAAAGAGTATCTAATCCAAAATAATGTTTGGTTGTTTGTTATCTTCTACTCAATACTGGCACTGGAGACTATATGACAACCTATAATTGTCCATAAACTCCATTTTAATGACCATTTTACTTACATGAATTTATATGTTCAATTTCCTACTTAAGAAAAAGTGAATTAAAAAGAAAGTGGAAATTTTAAGACAATTGATAAATCAGTTAATTGCTATACTTTCATTTGGGCAATGTATTATTATTTTTAAATTTTAGAATTTTTTCATTTATTTATTCTCTTAAACTTACATATTAATAAAGTTAATTGCATGTGCTTGGAAAAAAAGAAATGAAGAAGATTTTTTTAATTGAAAAAGTAATTGAATTACTCAGTTGAACAACTCAATGTGAATTAGCCCATAAATGTTTTCAGAGAGGATACCATTTATATTGGATTTTGACAAGTAGGAATAAGACAAGAAATCAAAAACATTGAGTAGAAAAAATATTTGGGGTAAGAGCCCAAAATTTTAATCCAAGGAGCTTGAATAAGTGATACTGTCATTTATATCAATCAAAACAAAAGGAGTAAGAAAAATGTGGAGATTATAATTTTAGTTTTGAATTAAGTTAAATTCTCATCTAAAATAAAATCAATACTGATAGTGTCAAGGCATCTGAATTCAGGACCACCCTCTGGATTTTGCAACCCTTTTCTCATAGGTGATAATTGATGGTATGGGGATATAGGGGCTCAAATAGTAAGCTCTAAAGGTCCTCCCAATATTTAAAGAGCAGCAAACGCAGATGGGAAAATTAGAAAAATAAAATATCTGTGGAATTCATGGAAAGAGAATATCTTAAGAAACAGGTTGTTGGCAATGTGAAATGCTGCAGAGAGCAATTAAAATGAAGAATTAAAGTATTTGAATAAATAATTAGAGTTTCATTGTTTATCCTAACCACTTTGAGAAAATGTTCAACTTGGAGGTAGGGTAAGAATTAGTCAGACTGTAGTGTGGTACTGGTGAAAAGTTAAAGCTGAAAAGGTAGAGAATGGTAAAAATATAATTTCAAGAACAGAGGAATAAAAAAAAATGACCACCTAGTTATGTTCCCTCATAGTATTCTATGCTTTCTCATTCATAGTATAACCAAAATAATGGTTATATTTTTAATGTATTCTTTTCTAGTCTGTATGGTCCAGGAGTGCAGAAATAATATGTTCTTTTTGTTTGTTTGTTTGTTTGTTTTAGTTGTAGATGAACCTAACAACTTTATTTTTTTAATGTGGTGCTGAAGATCAAACCCAATGCCTCACACATGCTAGACAAGTGCTCTATCACTGAGCTACAAGTCCAGCCTGGAGATAATATATTTTTGATCACAATTCCAACTGCAATGCCAAACAAGAGTATGCTACTGAATGGATGAATGAATGATAGATGGATAGATGGATAGATAAACAATTGGATGAGGGAAGCCAGGACAGGATATTTTTAAGTGAAGACCTTTGATCGTTTTAGTATTTACCAAAAGCACTAAATTACAAAAGCATGCTTCATATGAACTTCTTAGGTCTGCATATAAAATTTACAGATGGGGAAACTGAAACTTAGAAAAATGAAAAAGCTTCTGCAAGGACACACAGATAAGTGCCTGGACTGGAATCAGAAGTTGAATAATATTGGCACCTGTGTAACCACTGAGCCATGCAGCCATTCCAGTAGACTTTAACATTTACTCTCTTCAGCATGACCAAGTATTTTAAGTACCATTGACTTTTTTTATCTATTGCATGCTTCTCCAAGATCTCAACAGGCTTGATCAGAAAGCTTTAATACACAAATCTATTTAGGAGATCAGAAGCATACAAAAAGCCATATTATTCCACCCTATTGTTCTTTTTTTAATTATATAATTTTATTAGTGCATTATAGTTAAACATAATTCTGGGGGGTTACGTATTAATAAATTTATATAACATAATTTGCTCCATTTCAATCTCCAGTGATGCCTCCTTCCCATCCCTCCTCCTTCCCCCTCACCTGCTTCCTTTACCTTATTGGTCCTCCTTCTTTTCATTTGTTTTTAAGTGTTATACTTAAAAGTGGAATTCACTGTGACATATTCATATATGCACATTGCATGCTTTTGTCAATTGTATTTCACATTTCTCCCCTTTCCTTGTTCCTTCTTATTCCTCCTCAATCCCCTTCCTTTACTCCATTGTTCTCCCTTCTATTTTTATGAGTCCCTTTTTAATGTTTTTATTAATGAATTATAAATAAATAGTTGGGTTCATTTGACATATTCATGCATTCACATAATACAATTTGCTTCATTTCAGTCCACAGTGACTTTTCCTTCCTTCTCCTCCTCCCTCCTACTCCTCCTCTTCCTCTACTCTATTGGTCCTCCATCTATTGTTATTTTTTTAATTGGTGCTTGAGAGAAATGCATAAAGGTAAAATTCATGGTGGTATGTTTATATATGTCCATAGCTTAAATTGGTAAATTTCACTCCACAGTTTCCCCCTTTTCTCATCTCCCCTCCCTCCCCCTTTGATCCCATCCTCTACTCCACTGTTCTCCACTTTTTTCATGAGACTATTTTTTTAAGTTAATATTTCTCTCTAACTTCTTCATATGTGAAAAAAACATTAAATCTTTGACTTTCTGTGTCTGGCTTGTTTCATTTAGCATGATGTTCTCCAGTTCCATCCATTTACCAGAAAATGGCATAATTTCATTCTGGTTCAGTAAAACTCCATTTTATGTATACCCCACATTTTCTTTATCCATTCACCTGTTGATGAGCAGCTGGGCTCTTCCATAACTTGGCTATTGTGAATTTCACATGGATGTGCCTATATGCTGATTTTAGATCTTTTGGATAAATACCAAGAAGTGGAATACGTAGGTATATGGTGGATCCATTCCTAGTCTTTTGAAGAATGTCCATCCTGCTTCCCAAATTAGTTGTACTAGTTTGCATTCCCAGCAACGATGTATGATTATACGTTTTCTCCTAGATCCTTGCCAACATTTATTATTGTTTTTATTATTGATTATAGCCATTTTAACTGGAGTGAAATGAAATCTCAATGTAGTTTTGATTTGCTATTGCTAGAGTTGTGGAACTATTTTTTTCAAATATATGTGGCAATTTATATTTCTTTTGAGAAATGTCTATATAGTTCTCTTGCCTACTTATTGATTCGGTTATTGGTGGGGTTCCTTTGTTGGTTTGGGTATTAAGTTTTTTGAGTGCTTTATATATTTCTGTACATTAATTCCCTGTCAGAAGAGTACCTGGCAAAGACTTTCTCCCACTCTGTAGGCTCTCTCTTCATACTCTTAATCATTTCCTTGCTATGCAGAAGTTTTATAATTTTCCCCCTCCTCTCTCAACTTCCTAGTGCAGCTTCTCCAATTGGAGCAGTCAGAGCTCATCTTTCCCCACCAACTATCACAGAGCCCATCTGGCCATGTAGCCCTTGGCCTTGGAAGTTGGGGGTCCAGGGACTGTGGAGTAACTTGTGTGTGTTCTGAGTGTGTCTGCACCTATGTGTGTGTGCGTGTGGGTATGTATGTATGTATGTGAGAATAAATACAGCTCCTACTATTCAGGAATCAGGAATAAGGAATGTGTTTGCATGAGGGGGATGTGAGTCCTAGTGACGGAGGTGAGAAATCATTAAGAGGCTGAGGTTATAAGGGTGTGTGTATGCGGATGGAGGCATGCACTAAGAGCTGGGTGGGCTCATGGGGCTGAGCATGTAGGAGCGTGGGGAGGCTCCATGCACGTCTCTTCTGTGGGCATGAGTGTGCAGAGATGGATGTGCAAGGAGATGCTGTGCAGCCTGAGCTTGTGGAGTCTTGGGCAGTTCTGAGTGTGAGTATGGAAGGCCACATGGCCATCTTGGTGTGCAGGACCAGCATGGTCATGATGTAAGGAGGGGATGGAGTACTGGATTCATAGAGGAGAGGTCTCTGCCTAAGGGAGGTGCTACCCAGTGTACACGCACACAGTGGGTGTGTAAGGCGTGAAAGGCCCAGGTATGTAGGGATTGAGGAAGCCATTTCCTCCTCAGATCTTGGGGGATGCTGTTGGCCTCTTAAGAAGCTTGGGTGGATAGAAATCTTGGGAGTTAGAGGTCCAGATGTTCCACCTCCAAGCCTCCTTTTCAGAGGCTCAAGGAGATTTCTTGTCCTTAGGACTGCGCCCGGGGTACTGCCAACTGTGTGGTGTTCAGCTGTCCACTCTATAGCTTTGACCGTGCGGCTGTGCTGCACGTCTGGGGCCGCCTGTGGAATAGCACCTTTCTGGAGGTGAGGGCTCTGCTGGGCTTCAGGCTGGGTTTCTTCTTCTGCAGAGGCCCCACTGGGATTCATCGCTACCTTGTTCTTGTCTAAATGCAGCATATTCCTGAACCAAGACAGACAGAATCAACCTTGGCATTGGGCACCATTCCATTTATAATTTCAGGAGCTGGGGGAAAGTGAGGGGAACGTGGGGCATTTAGGAGGAGGGTCCCTTTCTCCACTCTCTTAGGAGTACTCAGCTGTGAAGTCCCTGGAAGTGATTGTCCGAGCCAACATCACAGTGAAGTCCTCCATCAAGAACTTGCTGCTCAGAGATGCCTCCACTGTGGTGAGTTGCAGGGCTGGGCTGGCTGGGTGGGGAGACTCTCTTCTTTCCTTCTCCCTCCAGCTCTCACTCCATTAACTCCTTATTCCTCAGATTCCAGTGATGGTATACTTAGACCCCATGGCTGTGGTGGCAGAAGGAGTCCCCTGGTGGGTCATCCTCCTGGCTGTGCTGGCCGGACTGCTGGTGCTAGCGCTGCTGGTGCTGCTCCTGTGGAAGGTGAGGCTTGGGGAGGGGGGCACCTGCTGGAGGCTAGACTTCCTGGTTGGGCAGGCAGACATTTGAACTGTGGCTCTCTCACTCACCTTCACACGGATGTATTCAACAAATCTACATTAAGCGCTGACCCTGCATGCACCAGGGACTCTATCCAGCCCTGAGTGTTTCAAAGATAAGTCTGATGCAGATCTTATTCTCAGGAATTTTGTAGCGTAGTGGGGTTATTGAGCCTCACAGTCAAAGACAAGGCAGAAGGGGTTGAGTTGAGAAAGGGGGAGTTCAGAGGAAGGGAGACTCAAGAGCAGAGGGCTGTGGAGCTGGGTCTTAAAGGAAGGTGAGTTGATAGAATCTGGATATGGGGAGATGGGGTGGGTGGGGCCTGAGCCTTCCAGAAGGCCCCTGGTAGGCAAAGACATGGAGCTGGGGAAGTATGGTCTGATTTAATGAGTGTGGCAGTGAAGGCTGGAAAGAAAGCTGTGGCCCAAAAGGCCACCAAGTGTGGAGAACTAGTTCCAGGAAGCTGCCTGCAAAGCTGGACTTTGAGCTTCCACATACCAGGTCCACATGGAACCATTCTTGAACACACCCAGCTGTAACAGAATCCCATTGATATCTGGAGTGCAACGTAAAAACACACCCACCCACATATCAGTACAGGCAGTCACATACATCACCAGGGCTCATCGTCTCTGAGCCACACACCACATCTGGGGATGGGTGCAGAACCGTGCATGTCCTTGGGCTCTGCGGGGCACTGCCCTACTTCCCACCTGTCCCCTGGGACCGATCACAGAGTGAGCACACCTTTTGGCAAGTGGACCAGGCTCTGGAGTGGCATCTAAGCAGTGGGGAACCTGCCCAGTCTTAAGGGAGATTGATGTCTTCATGAAACTGGCCCCAGGATGCTTTCCCCCTGCACCCCAGAAACAGCAGAGATAAGGCCCCCTCGTCTTCAGTCTTTCCATCCTCTGCCTCTTTTGCTCCCCTCCTCCCTCAACTTCCCAGTGCGGCTTCTTCCATCGGAGCAGTCAGAGCTCATCTTTCCCCACCAACTATCACAGAGCCCATCTGGCTGTACAGCCGTCGGCCATGGAAGTTGGGGGTCCAGGGACTGTGGGGTAACTTGTATGTGTGCATGAGTGTGTCTGCAACTATGTGTGTGTGTGTGTGTGTGTGTGTGCGTGCGTGTGTATGTATGTATGTATGTGAGAATGAATAGAGTTCTAGCATTCAGGGATCAGGAATAAGGAATGTGTTTGCATGAGGGTGATGTGAGTCCTAGTGACGGAGGCGAGAAATCATTAGGAGGCTGAGGTTATAAGGGTGTGTGTATACAGCTGGGGGCATGCACTAAGAGCTGGGTGGGCTCATGGCTGAGCATGTAGGAGTGTGGGGAGGCTCCCTGCACGTCTCTTCTGTAGGCATGAGTGTGCAGAGATGGATGTGCAAGGAGATGCTGTGCAGCCTGAGCTTGGGGAGTCTTGGGAAGCTCTGAGTATGAGTATGGAAAGGCCACATGGCCATCTTGGTGTGCAGGACCAGCATGGTCATGATGTAAGGAGGGGATGGAGTACTGTATTCAGGGAGGAGAGGTCCCTGCCTAAGGGAGGTGCTACCCAGTGTACAAGCACACAGGGGGTGTGTAAGGCGCGAAGGGGCCAGATATGCAGGGGTTGAGGAAGCCATTTCCTCCTCAGATCTTGGGGGATGCTGTTGGCCTCTTAAGAAGCTTGGGTGGATAGAAATCTTGGGAGTTAGAGGTCCTGATGTCCCACCTCCAAGCCTCCCTTTCAGAGGCTCAAGGAGATTTCCTTTCCTGCTCCTCGGGCCCCCTCTTGATCTTCCTCTTGCTGTGAATGAGAACCTGGGGCCCTGGCACTGGTGGTACCCTGGGTACTGCCCATGGTGCTGGGTGCTGGCTGGCCTGTCTCTGTTCTGCTTCAGCTGGTTGTTTCTCTCCCAGGGGTGGTGGGGGCAAGGTTCTGTGCTGTGGGTGTATATCCCCAGGGCCTCAGCCCTGCAGCTCCTCATAGTCTGGCTTGGCGTCCTTATAGATGGGATTCTTCAAGCGGGCAAAGCACCCTGAGGCCACAGTGCCCCAGTACCATGCAGTGAAGATCCCTCGTGAAGACCGGCAACAGTTCAAGGAAGAGAAGACAGGGACCATCTTGAGGAACAACTGGGGCAGTCCCCGACGGGAAAGTCCTGACGCACACCCCATCCTGGCTGCTGATGGGCACCCTGAGCTGGGCCCTGAGGTGCACCCTGTGCCAGGCACTGCCTAGCTTCCTTGGTCTCATCCTAGCCCAAGGGTCCCTTCCACCTCTTCCTGAGTGGCTCCTCTGGATGAAGAGAGTAGAATTGGTTGCTGACACTGCCTCAAGATTTGGCAGGATCTGCTTTCTCAGGAGCACAGACCTCACCCACCCATGAGAACCACCCCGATCTTCCCCTTGGAATGCTGGGAGACAAGAGGGTGTCAACCAGGGATGGGGCTGTGGGGCAGGGCAAGAAGGGCAGGGATGTCCTGCTATATGGTGGGGATCAGAATCCCTCCTTCTGCCACTCCCGCTGTGTAACCTGTCTCCCCCAAAGTGCCTTAGCCGGACAGTCAGGGAGGAGATTGTGTTGCTGACTCAGGGGCTTCTCCCTCCTCAGTTTCCCTTCTCCTCTGACCTTAGTTTGCTGCATCAGTCTAGTGGATTTTGTCTATTTATTAAAAAACATTTGAAGACAAAATCTCTGGCTTCTTTGCTAAGTGCTGCTCCCTCCTCCCCAGGGTCTCCCCTTCTCTCTGGTACCCCCACAGCTCTGGATAAAGGTGGTAGTGGGGAGGGACACTCGGGTGGCCAGGCAGGGTTGCAGTACCGTGGCTTCTGAAGCTAGTCTCAGGGGCACATAGGAGTAACCTAAGGAGGGCAGGGGGACCTTTCCCATGGGGATAAGGGAAGGGATGGGAGCTGTCCTAGGAAGCGGGTGGGTGAAGTCTGGGAATTTTTAGTTAAGGAATGACAGAGCATAATGTTTTCCTCCCTCTAGTCAGGGTAGGATTTTTTTATTAGAGCTAGAGATTCCCCTCAGGCAGAGGGAGGGAGGAACTAGGGGATGATGGTGGTAGGGGAAGCTTCTCTCATTCTTGATTAGATCCCTCTCAGCAGAAGACAGATTTGCCTGTGGATGGCTTTTTCTGACTGGGGACAGGAGAGGCAGCAAATGACCCCCCATGGAAGTTTATTTCACAGCCTTCCCCATGATGTGGGGCCCAACAGGTAACCATTTGAAGGGAGGGGGCTGTCGTTCCATTTGGATCTCAGAGAACTGGGCATTCTCCAGGTCCTTCCAGGTCTCTCTGGTAAGGTAGCAGCCATCCCCAATGTGCTTCCAGGTGGGCTCAAAAACTTGCTGCCACATGAAGGCCTGGCTTCCTCGCGGATAAGCCACGTGCTCCCAGAAGAACAGCACTCCTCCCTGGGAGGGAGGAGAGGGTCAGTGTCACTAGCTGCTCCATCCTGCTCCTTCCTCCTTCCCTCTGATCAAGCCTGGCCAAATCTCTTAGTGAAGTGGGAGCAGCTGATCTGAGAGTTTATGGAGCAAACTGCTGCTCTGACATTTTCTACAACCCCTGCTCCTACCCTCCCTCAAGGGGCCTGTGAAGAACCTCTTGTAACTGAGGGGGAAATGACTGCTGAGAGATCTTTAAAGAAGGTCCAGAGGGCAGACAGAGGGTGACTAAGACACAAGGGCAGATGGCTCAGTATATACAGATGCACCAGGCCTCTCTACCAAGACTCAGGTGCGTGCCATAGCTGTTCCTGACATCTCCTCCAACATCCCAGGGAAGCCTCAGACCCTGCCCGATAACCACAGGGGGTTTCTCCAGCTCTTCTCTTCCCACTACCCTCCCCTAGTGATTCACTCACCCCCGTGCTCTTAATTAGCAGCTACAAGCTGGTGATGTCCAACTCTCTATCTCCACACTGCATCTTTTCCTGCCTCCAGTTCTAGCCCTCTAACAGCCCACATGGTTTCTTGCTTGGCTGTCTCAGCAGCTCCTGGGACCTAACAAGTCCCAAACAGTGTTCCTCCATTCCAGCAAATGGTCTAGCACCCATTATCCCTTCAGTTGCTCACACCAGAAACTTGGAAACTATCCTAAACTCCCCTCTCTCTATGCCCCGCTTGTAATATTATGGATTTAAAAAGTGTGTGGATTCTACTCCCCCTAATATCTCAACTGGCACACTTATTTCCCCACCCTCCATGTCCTGTTTAATTCCTCTGATCTCAATTTAAACTTCACTTCCTTAGGTGACTTCTCCACCTCCCTCCACTTCCTGTTAGGTGACTCTCCTGCCTGCCCCAACAGCACCCTCTTGGGTCCACCATGGTCACTCTTATTCAGCAGCAGGTGGCGGTAGTGGGGTATCTAATGTACTAATACCTCAGTTCCCCCTCCTGGGGCCCCTGAACTCTGGGGTGGCCAATGCTGTTTGCCTGCCCCTGGCCCCCGTCCTTCCCACTCTGCTCACCGGCCTCAGCACTCTGTGGACTTCCTGCAGGACCCTCTTTGGGCTCTGCACAGAGCAGAGCACCAGAGTGCAGACCACCACGTCCATGGAGCCATCAGCCACTTGTTTCATGTCCTCTCCAGGGGCCACCACAAACCGCTCATATTGGAGGTGCCTGTTCTCAGCCATGCTCCTTGTCAGGAACTTCTCAAAGTGGGGATTTGGGTCCAGGCAGGTGATCCTGCAGCCAGCAGGATAGAACTGGAAGTTGGCACCAGTGCCACAGCCCAGCTCCAGCAGGGCCACCTTCCCTGAGGTTCCCAATCAGCCCCTTTATCTGATGAAGAGCTCCTGTTTCTTGCTCTCCATCCTGTGGTTGGTTTTGTCAGCCAGTGCGGCCGTCAGGTAGGGGAAGTAGCTTTTGCACAGGGGTTTCCAGAAGCCCAGCAGAGCCATCAGGTGCAGGGGCAGCATCAGGAGCAGCATGAGCAGTTGCAGGAGTTGGACCAGGACATCCATGGCACCAGCTTCAGGTGGTGCTTCTGTTGGGGCACTGGCCTTCTTTCTCTGCCCAGCCTCTGCAGAAACCAGTCTCCCCTCCTCCTGTTTTAGGACTTTGCTCCTTGTGTCCAGATTGGCAATCTTCCTTACAGTTGGACAGGGTGTGTGGCATTCCTCCAGAGGGCAAGGTTCTCTCAATCCTATGGGCTCTTCAGAAGCTTTATGTGGGGCAAAGGGACAGGTGGTGCCTGTGTTCTAGGGAGCACTGCCCAGCTGGGGAGGGTGGTATCTCTAAGGCTGACTCACCTTAGAGGGGAGTCTTAAGGGACACCAGGGATTATGTCTCAGATCACTGCTTCATGGGAGCCAAATGCCAGGGAAGAGCTGCATCATGGGGAATATCCTAGTCTCATTCCAATCTCAGGTCTGCTTCAGTTGACTGTGCAAGCTGGAAATTCTGGTTGGGTTCCCTGAGTACACTCTGAGGGCTGTGTAAACTGTAACAGGAGGAGGCCTAACAGAAGGTTCAGGGTTAGACCTGATATAGCTTAAGAAAAAGGGAGGTTACTGGTCAAAAGAAAAGCACTTTCTGAGCTTACTGGTGTTTATTTTTAAATGCAAGGCCTCAAAATTCCAGAAATAGGAGAAAGAAAAAAAAAACAGAGTACAGATGAAGTCAAGAGACCTGTGTGCTAAGAAGTCTGAGTTCTGCCACTTAGTCCTGTATCTCCTAGGCAAGTGTCTTTATTTTCTTGGTTTTGACTTCTCATGTATTGTGGAGAGCCATCCTCACGCGTGACTGGGCCACTCCCGGTTTGGGTCTGAGGCTTCTGGCTGTGTCGGAACTTTCCCAGCCCTCTCCTGATGAGAGAACCCGTCCGTGTGGGGGTGTGACTGACCACTGACCCCGGGGACCCAATCACTGACCCTGACCTTGGAGTGCGGGCCCCCCTCAACCTTCATTGGATGGAATTCTCCCCTGAATTTCTTGTTCCCCAATAAAAGTCTACTCCCTGGTGTGCTCGCTCTCTCTCTCTCCTTTTAGCCCTGAGTAATCCTTGCTGCCCTACAGGTGGTTTGCCGAGTCCGGCCAACGGAGCCGAGTCCGGCGAGGGACGGCGGGGTTAAAAAATACACAGGACACCAAGGTTCTTCATCCAGGAGGGAGCGTGTGCGCGCTTTATTGCCAAATTTGTTCCCCTTATATATCTTTTTAACAGCTGCAGGAAATTACTCAAAAGTGAGGAGGGAAGAGTAATAACTGCGTCCTTGGGTTACCATCACGTCACCGTCCCCTATCAGGAGGCTCGAACAGGTCAAGATGTTCCCAAGAGACACATGTGCTCTAGGCAGATAAACAGGGAACCACAAGCCCGCGTCACGGCCTTGTGAGCTGGCCACATTGACATGCATAACAAAGAACTGGGGGTTGAGTCCCCAGGGGCCAGGGCGGGCCTGCTACCAGCAAGTCCCCCTTTTTTGTTTTTTGCATGTCAATGGGAATCAAGTAGCCCCTGTCTTAGGTAGTCCACCGCCCCTGCACTGCTTACCCATCTCTGGGGAGGCCCATTCCCCTGGCTTAGGTTGCAGTGCAAGCGTGGAAGTTGCCCGTCACTGGGTACTACAAGATCAGCTCTTGTCCTACGTAAACGGACACTTTTCAGTTAGGATGTCATGGCCAGCAGGACACAACTGCGGATCCCAGTCATCATCTTTGCCAGTGGGATAGATATGACCAGGGAGCTTTCTGAACGTAAGACTCTGGGATGACGGCACCAAGTCGGCAGGGTAATTAGGGACCTGGGCAAAAGCAGGCATACATAGGAGGGCTCGGGTATTGGCTCCTGTCCAGTTACATCTCATCTCTGGATGGGTCGTAAGTACACCTCGTGGGTGGAGTCGTCCATCTCCAGGCGTTGGTAGTGAACCTGTATTGGCTTGGAGGTTAAAATGTTAATCTGGTCCTTAATGAATTGAGTTATTCTATTTGCAACACAAGGTCCCAAGGTTGCAATCAAAAGAAGACCCAGTAAGGGCCCCAGGAGGGGAAGAAGGTAGGGCAGGAACCCATTCATCCCAGTCCAAAGAGGGTTCTCGAATAATTCTTTTCTCCTTTTCTCTAGGTCTTCTTGAAGCTCCTTGATTTTAGTGCGAACTATGCCCGATTTATTGGCATAGAAGCAGTACCTTTCTCCTAAGGCTAAACAGATTCCCCCTGATTGGCAGTCAGTAAGTCTAGGCCTCACCTATTTTGGAGGACCACTTCTGCCAAAGAGTGAATTTGGTCTTGTAAGTCTTTAATGGTGCCAGATAGGGTCTGCACATCACCTATAAGCTGCTGAGATAGACAGCGGTAGGAATGTATAGCCGTACCCAGTCCAGCTGTGCCTGTGCCCACAGCAGCCGTTATCCCCAGTGTGGCGAGTAATGGTAGAGCCTGTATAGCTCGCCTGTGTCTTCTCACTAGAGTGTCTAGGCTGGGGATGGGCAGGGGCTCATCCCCAGGGACAATGGTTATGTCAGGGAGGAGCAGGGTGAGAACGCAGACACCTGTCCAATTTGTAGGGAGTCTGGGAAAAGCTAAATTTCCACCACACATAAAAACTGTACCATTAGGGGGACAAATGGGCGGAGTAGGTGAAGAGTAATTCTTTACTAATGAGCAGTTCCCAAAGGAAGAGACTCCAACATCAACATCATAGGTATTATTTTGCATCATGCCCAGAAGGCAAGACATAAAACCACCTAGAGGCTGCACCTTAAAGGGTAGCCCAGATTGACATGTGTTGTCATCATCAATGGTATAATTAATGGGGACCACCAATGGCATGACTGAACCTGCCGTCATGCAGAGCCAGCAGTCACTAGCAAGCGTGGGATCAGAGTTGTTAAGTAAGAAAAGGGTGGTTTTTAAGATATCCCACGTGTTGGCATCCAGATCTGGGAGCTGAGACTTAGGCAGCACCAAGGAGTGGTATATGAGGTCAGGGACCTGTGGTTTCAAAAGCCTGATGATTTGAAGATGTTTAACAGAATCCGTGCCCCCCCCATCAGAGATCCCTGTGGGGGCTTCAGTGGGCCAACAGGAGGGCTTACCGACTTGACCCTGGCACCCAGCCAACTGAAGATAGGAGTCAATTTCCCCCTGAAGTCCCAGGGTCGTTGCTCCTTCCCGAGTCTGCGTCTACTGGTCTCGTGCAGCGTTCCGGGACCCAAATGGGTTTTTCCATCCCTGGAGGGAAGACACATACAGCTCCTCTCACTCTAGCCAAGAGTGGAGCAGGGGGTTGCCACTTCCCTGTAGCCAGATCCTTCCATCTTATCTGTGCTTTTTGTATGGTGGGAGGGGAAAAGTGACGCTGCACCGCTGTACGGCCTTCGGCGTCAGTGAGCAAAAAATTTAAAGTGAATAGAGTTATGCTTAATAGTGCATGTGGTCCCTGAAAACTCTGGTATATCTCCCCCTCTTTTGTTTTTTGCAAATAGGTTTTAAGATGTTGATGGGCCCGTTCAACAATGGCCTGTCCTTGGGGGTTATATGGGATTCCTGTTTTGTGTATAATATCCCACTGTGAGCAAAATTTTTGGAAGGTTTGACTAATATAAGCTGGGCCATTATCTGTTTTTATACATCGAGGGGTTCCCATAAAGGAAAAGGTTTTAACATAGTGCTGTATCACGTCCTTAGCCTTTTCTCCTGAATGTAAAGTAGCGGAGATAAAACCAGAGAACGTGTCTATACTGACATGCACAAAAGACAGTTTTCCAAAACTAGGAATATGAGTTATATCAGTTTGCCAGATGTCATTTGGCTGAAGGCCCCTTGGGTTGACTCCCAGAGAAGGGGAATGGATAAAAGGTGCACAAGTAGGACATAGGGAGACAATTTTTAAAGCTTGATCCCGGGAACATCCTGAGCGGAAGCGCAAAGTTTGTGCGTTTAGGTGAAATTTATTATGAAGTTGTAGGGCCTTATCATACTCAGTTATTGTATATATAAAATTAGTGGCATGTGTGGCAGTGTCTGCCATGGCGTTGCCCGCCGCCAGAGGACCTGGAAGTCCGGAATGACTTCTAATGTGACCTATGAAGAGGGGGTCTGCCCTAGCCCATATAAGAAGCTGCACTGTTTGTAGTTGATCCATGATAGTGGATTGTTTTCCAATATAAGGTGCCGTCTCAATCGCGGAGGCAAGCCTGGCGATATAGAGACTGTGAAAACATTAAGGGGCACTGAGCTATAGGTCTGTAAGGCCAATATTAAGGCTGCAACCTCCGCTTTTTGGGCCGAACAATCGGCCACTCTCTTGCGGATGACTTGGGTCCCATCTGAAACGACAGCAAACCCATTTTTGGTCCCGTCAGTGAAGACGGTTTGTGCCCCCAGGAGAGGATCCTTTTTTAGGATCTTTGGGAAAATTATTGGACATGTCTTTAGACTTTCAAGGAGCCTGCTTTTAGGGTAGTGATTGTCAACCTGTCCCATGAAACTACAGAAGAAAAGACACCAGAGATCATGTTCCTGTCTTAATTTAGAAAGAATGTCTTGATTATATGGTAATATGAGAACATCAAAGGTTTTCCCAAACAAGGCATCTCCTAGATATTTTGCTTTCCAAACTAATTGTATTACCAGATCATGGAAAGGTATCAAGACCCAGGAGGGGGATGCAGGTAAGTGAACCCAATAAATAGGACCAGTCTGCCAAAAGACTCCAGTCGGGGTGAGTTTTGACAGCAGAACAATGAATAACAAGGACTGGGAGTAGTCCACCTGCATCACCTGCATCTCTTGTAAGGCTGTATCTATCAATCTAAGTGCCTTCAAGGCTTCTGGAGTAGGTTTTCGCGGGGAGGTGGGTGAGGGGTCTCCTCTCAAAAGGTCATACAGGGGTTTAAGTTCACCAGTAGGGACATGGAGGGAAGGCCGCAGCCATTGGATTTCCCCCAGAAATGTCTGCCATTGGTGCAGGGTTTTGAGCTGGTTCACCTGAAATTGAGGCCTCTGGGGAGTGATCCCTACCTTGTTAATAGTATATCCTAGATAGTTATAAGGATACAGAATCTGCACCTTCTCTGGGGCTATAAT